ATATATATACATATACATATATATATATATATATATATATATATATATATATATATACATACATATATATATATATATATATATATATATATATATATATATATACATACATATATATATATATATATATATATATATATATATATATATATATATATATATATATATATATATATATATATATATATATATATATATATATATATATATATATATATATGTATATATATATATATATATATATATATATATATATATATATATATATATATATATATATATATATATGTGTGTGCGACCCTGTGCCCAGGGGTACCAGGGTCGACCCAGTGCCCAGCGTATCTGGGTCGACCCAATGCCCAGGGGTACTTGGGACGACCCTGTGCCCAGGGGTACCAGGGTCGACCCTTATATATATATTATAATATATATAATATACACTTATAAATGATTCTCAATATGAGAAAAATATGACTTCTTCACATTGCTTAAATGTAAAGAAACTTTGTAAACTCAACTCAGAAGCCACTTATTATCTAACCACTTATTGTAAACACTTATCAGAAGCACAATAAGCATACACATCCAGTAAACACTATCAGGGAACATAGTCAGTGCATACTACCAGGTAACACTATCAGTAAACATTTCCAGCAAACACTACCAGTAAACATTACCAGCGAACATTACCAGCAAACATGACCAGCAAACATGACCAGCAAACACTACTAGCGAATACTGTCAGTGGACACTACCAGCGAACACTACTAGCAAACACTACAGACGAACACTACTAGCGAACACTTACAGCAAACTCTGTCAGCAATACTAAATATTACGAGTGAACACTACCAGAGAATACTACCAGCAAGCTATGCCAGCGAACACTAAATATTACAGGCGAACATTACCAGGGAACACTGCCAGTGAACACTACCGATGAACACTACCAGAGAATACTACCAGCAAACTATGCAAGCGAACACTACCGATGAACACTACCAGAGAATACTACCAGCAAACTATGCAAGCGAACACTACCGATGAACACTACCAGAGAATACTACCAGCAAACTATGCAAGCGAACACTACCTGCGAACACTACCAGCGATCGCTACCAGCAAGCATCGCCCTAGGAGCAGAAGCTGTAAATTTGTCTCGGTTTATTCCATAAATATATACTGTCTGAGCCATATTTTTAACTTATGTTGATTATATCTAATTTCAAATACTCGTAAACATTCATAAAGTAAATTATCTTAAGAGAATATACAATATTAAATTACATACCGCCGTCCGGGCGATCATCACCCAACGTAGCTAGCCATAGTGAAGCTCATTGTTTACTGGAGGCTTTTTATTACCTCTACTGAGATGATTCCTTTTGTCTTTATATATATATATATATATATATATATATATATATATATATATATATATATATATATATATATATATATATATATATATATATATATATATATATATATATTGACCTTCTGAAGATGTATTTAATATACGAAAGTACTTAAGGAAATTTCCTGTTTCATTTTTCCTCCGTTGTCTGACATTGTCACATTCTTAATCACGTGTTTATTTTCGTGATATACACACACATATATATATATATATATATATATATATATATATATATATATATATATATATATATATATATATATATATATATGTATTGGGAGATGCCCCTGCCCCCCTCTTAAGATTGAACTGTTGATCCTTCCCAGGATGCAACAACCACACAACAGTTGACAAACTTCCCGGTACCTGCTTAATGCTAAGGAAAGAGGAAGCGTTAGGAAAATGAGGAGTGCTAAACCATTTCTGTCTTATCCCGGGAATCACACAAAAGTGTCACACAAAATAATTAAATCAAAATTAAAATAAATCGAAATTTATGAAAATTCAATTTGACAATGCAGTTGGAAACATCGAAATGAAATCGTAACATATTTAGTATAGCGTGTGTTGTTCTCACATGCAACAGATGCGCTGTTTTTTAAAAAGATACATGTTTTTACCTGGCATAGGTGTGGCATCTATATAGTAGGTATATAAAAACACGCACATACATGAATGGAAGGTTGTGTCAAAATTTCAAAGCAATCCGTGAAGAAATTTCGGAGATTATGGCATGAGTTGGTCTAACGTCCAAGAGATGGCGATGTTTAAAAAAAAAAACATATTTTGTCCTGTCACAGGTGAGGCATGTATATAGTAGGTATATAAAAACATGCGCCTATTCGAATGCAACGTTGTGTCAAAATTTCAAAGCAATCGATAAAGAGGTTTTGAAGAATTCCCTCAAATTAAAAACACATGAAAAACACAGTTTTTCAAAAAAAGTATGTTTTTTTCCCCATCACAGACGTGACATCTATATAGTATGTATATAAAAACCTGCTCGGATGCGAGTGGAACGTTGTGTGAAAATTTCAAAGCAATCAGCGAAGAACTTTCGGAGATTAGCGATTTTGAACAAACGAACATTTTATTTATATAGATTATATCTCTTTAGATAGTATTTACACACTGCCCGTATTTCAGCCTGTGTCTTATTGGCAAGAAAGGAGATAAGCCTATGCCTCGGTCGCGTGTTCCCAGGATATCCTGATGCAACAAGTTTCAGTGTCCAGTGTTGCCAGACGTGTATGTGACTGACATACATATTTACTAAAATTCAACAAATTGTTTTCCAGTCTTAATTTTTTTTTTTTTTAATAACCAGTGTGGTGTGTTGGAGGAGTCTCTTCTCGCTCTGTGTACCCCCGTCCTTCAAAAGTATCCATTATTGCACCATCAACTTTACTTCAATTTATATTCACTTCTCTCCAACATATAATTAAAAACCCGTCTGCTGATGACGCGTATTTGAATATCATTTCGAAGCTCGCAACATCCGGGTATTAATACTTCGTTATAATATGTTTTATCCTGGTGTTTTTATTTAATAGTGACGTGTTTTTTGTGCTTACGTCTGGCTAGCCAGCCAGAGGGACGTATACACGTTGGCCTGAGAGGCGTTATGGTCCTTGTCGTCAGCTACGTGGGGCCAAATTCAGACGTTTCGTCGTTAACTAGACGATCATTCTGACAGTTTCCGTGGATCAAAGCGAAGCACATCAACGCAATAGAAGATATAAACCGTGAAATGTGCGATTTGTATCTCATTTCTACACAGTAATACTTTGCGGTGCTTAACTTCATTCCTACACCGCCAAACTTTGCGATATATCCCACAAAGTTTAGCAGTATCAGAATATGAGAAGCTTACCATATATATTATCTGGTAATCGCAACATCCACCACAAAATTGCGACTGCCGAAAAATGCCACGAATTCAGTTGCGTTATTCTATCGTAGATTACAACCAGGATATATATATATACCTCCCCTTAGTGCTGACCAGTCCAGCAACCGGGATGCCTGGTCGGGGACCGGGCCGCGGGGACGTTGAGCCCCGAAATCATCGCAAGGTAACCACTGTGAGGGGGAACGTGAGATTGTTATGAGGGGGGAAGGAAGTGCTAGGTCGGTACAACTGTATAACACTAGAATATGAGAACAAAAACTTAATGGTGCCCCAGCCGCTCGGGTGATAGGAGATTGAACTTGGACCAGCAAGAAGCGAGGTCGTCGCTTCGCCGATCAGTTGGACCAACGACGGAAGTCTACCACACCAGTAGATGCAACCAAGGAAATAATATGATAGCACTGGTAAACAGAGTACATTTCTTGTATATGTATTGCTAAGTTTGACTCACAGAACACTGTCTTGTGTTTCCAGACGACGACTGGCTAGAGAGAGCTGGACTACTGCTAGCGAGAGCTGGACTACTGCTAGCGAGAGCTGGACTACTGCTAGAGAGAGAGCTGGACTACTGCTAGAGAGAGAGCTGGACTACTGCTAGAGAGAGCTGGACTACTGCTAGAGAGAGAGCTGGACTACTGCTAGCGAGAGCTGGACTACTGCTAGAGAGAGAGCTGGACTACTGCTAGAGAGAGAGCTGGACTACTGCTAGCGAGAGCTGGACTACTGCTAGAGAGAGAGCTGGACTACTGCTAGAGAGAGAGCTGGACTACTGCTAGAGAGAGAGCTGGACTACTGCTAGAGAGAGCTGGACTACTGCTAGAGAGAGCTGGACTACTGCTAGCGAGAGCTGGACTACTGCTAGAGAGAGAGCTGGACTACTGCTAGAGAGAGAGCTGGACTACTGCTAGCGAGAGCTGGACTACTGCTAGAGAGAGAGCTGGACTACTGCTAGAGAGAGAGCTGGACTACTGCTAGAGAGAGAGCTGGACTACTGCTAGAGAGAGCTGGACTACTGCTAGAGAGAGCTGGACTACTGCTAGAGAGAGTTGGACTACTGCTAGAGAGAGCTGGACTACTGCTAGAGAGAGTTGGACTACTGCTAGAGAGATCTGGACTTCTACTAGAGAGCTGGACTACTGCTAGAGAGAGTTGGACTACTGCTAGAGAGAGTTGGACTACTGTTAGAGAGAGTTGGACTACTGCTAGAGAGAGTTGGACTACTGCTAGAGAGAGCTGGACTACTGCTAGAGAGAGTTGGACTACTGCTAGAGAGAGTTGGACTACTGCTAGCGAGAGCTGGACTACTGTTAGAGAGAGCTGGACTACTGCTAGAGAGAGTTGGACTTCTACTAGAGAGAGCTGGACTACTGCTAGAGAGAGCTGGACTACTGCTAGAGAGAGTTGGACTACTGCTAGAGAGAGTTGGACTTCTACTAGAGAGAGCTAGAGAATAGTGTTCGGACTCTGAACAAGCGTTCTGTGCGACATTATCGCCAGAGATTGAGTTATGATGAACATTGAATGATGTTTTCCTCCTGGTGACATTAGCTCTCAGTATGCCAGTATGCCGCCTCCTTCTAAAGGCGGCTGAGTAAAAGGGCCAATGAGTCTTCTGCGTGGAAATAAGTTACTAAACTTGTTCGTGATTTGTGGGATAAATTGTCTAACTCAAACGTGATTGGTGGAGTAAATTGTACCTGTACCCGCGCTCTTGAACCTGAAGCTGCGCTCTCCTGTAGCTGCACTCTTGAATCTGTAGCCGCACTCTTGAACCTGTAGCTGCACTCTTGAACCTTTAGCAGCTCTCTTGAACCTGTAGCTGCACTCTTGAACCTTTAGCTGCACTCTTGAACCCTTAGTAGCTCTCTTGAACCTGTAGCCACACTCTTCAACCTGTAGCAGCACTCTTGAACGTGTAGCTGCACTCTTAAATCTGTTGCCGCACTCTTGAACCTGTAGCCGCACTCTTGAACCTGTAGCCGCACTCTTGAACTTGTAGCTGCACTCTTGAATCTGTTGCCGCACTCTTGAACCTGTAGCTGCACTCTTGAACCTGTAGCCGCACTCTTGAATCTGTAGCCGCACCCTTGAATCTGTAGCCGCACTCTTGAACCTGTAGCCGCCTTCTTGAATCTGTAGCCGCACTCTTGAACCTGTAGCCGCACTCTTGAATTTGTAGCCGCACTCTTGAACCTGTAGCCGCACTCTTGAATCTGTAGCCGCACTCTTGAACCTGTAGCCGCACTCTTGAACCTGTAGCTGCACTCTTGAACCTATAGCCGCACTCTTGAACCTGTAGCCGCACTCGAACCTGTAGCTACACTCTTGAACCTATAGCTGCACTCTTGAACCTGTAGCTACACTCTTGAACCTGTAGCCGCACTCTTGAACCTGTAGCCGAACTCTTGAACCTGTAGCCGCACGAACCTGTAGCCGCACTCTTGAACCTGTAGCCGCACTCTTGAACCTGTAGCGGCACTCTTGAATCTGTAGCTACACTCTTGAACCTGTAGCCGCACTCTTGAACCTGTAGCTGCACTCTTGAGCCTGTAACCGCACTCTTGAATCGGTTGCCGCGCTCTTGAACCTGTAGCCGCACTCTTGAAACTGTAGTCGCACTCTTGAACCTGTAGCCGCATTCTTGAACCTGTAGCCGCACTCTTGAACCCCCTAGCCGCACTCTTGAACCTGTAGCCGCACTCCTGATCCTGTAACCGCACTCTTGAGCCTGTAGCGGCCCCCTTGAGCCTGTAGCTGCACTCTTGAACCTGTAATCGCACTCTTGAGCCTGTAGCCGCACTCTTGAACCTGTAGCGGCACTCTTGAACCTGTAGCCGCACTCTTGAACCTGTAGCCGCACTCTTGAACCTGTAACCGCACTCTTGAATCTGTAGCGGCACTGTTGAACCTGTAGCCGCACTCTTGAACCTGTAGCCGCACTCTTGAACCTGTAACCGCACTCTTAAGCCTGTAGCCGCACTCTTAAACCTGTAACCGCACCCTTGAGCCTGTAGCCGCACTCTTGAATCTGTAGGCGCGCTCTTGAACCTGTAGCCGCACTCTTGAACCTGTAGCCGCACTCTTGAATCTGTAGCTGCACTCTTGAACCTGTAACCGCACTCTTGAATCTGTAGCGGCACTCTTGAACCTGTAGCCGCACTCTTGAATCTGTAGCCGCACTCTTGAACCTGTAGCCGCACTCTTGAATCTGTAGCGGCACTGTTGAACCTGTAGCCGCACTCTTGAACCTGTAGCCGCACTCTTGAATCTGTAGCCGCACTCTTGAATCTGTAGAAACACTCTTGAATCTGTTGCCACACTCTTGAATCTGTAGCTGCACTCTTGAACCTGTAGCTGCACTCTTTAACCTGTAGCAGCACTCTTGAACCTGTAGCTGCACTCTTGAACCTGTAGCCGCACTCTTGAACCTGTAGCCGCACTCTTTAACCAGTAACCGCACTCTTGAATCTGTAGCCGCACTGTTGAACCTGTAGCCGCACTCTTGAACCTGTAGCCGCACTCTTGAACCTGTAACCGCACTCTTGAGCCTGTAGCCGCACTCTTGAACCTGTAACCGCACCCTTGAGCCTGTAGCCGCACTCTTGAACCTGTAGCCGCGCTCTTGAATCTGTAGCCGCACTCTTGAACCTGTAACCGCACTCTTGAATCTGTAGCCGCACTCTTGAACCTGTAGCCGCGCTCTTGAATCTGTAGCGGCACTCTTGAACCTGTAGCCGCACTCTTGAATCTGTAGCCGCACTCTTGAACCTGTAGCCGCACTCTTGAATCTGTAGCGGCACTGTTGAACCTGTAGCCGCACTCTTGAACCTGTAGCCGCACTCTTGAATCTGTAGCCGCACTCTTGAATCTGTAGAAGCACTCTTGAATTTGTTGCCACACTCTTGAATCTGTAGCCGCACTCTTGAACTTGTAGCTGCACTCTTGAACCTGTAGCTGCACTCTTTAACCTGTAGCAGCACTCTTGAACCTGTAGCTGCACTCTTGAACCTGTAGCCGCATTCTTGAACCTGTAACCGCATTCTTGAACCTGTAGCAGCACTCTTGAACCTGTAGCTGCACTCTTGAACCTGTAGCTGCACTCTTGAACCTGTAGCTGCACTCTTTAACCTGTAGCAGCACTCTTGAACCTGTAGCTGCACTCTTGAACCTGTAGCTGCACTCTTGAACCTGTTTCTGCACTCTTGAACCTGTAGCCGCATTCTTGAACCTGTAGCTGCACTCTTGAACCTGTAGCCGCATTCTTGAACCTGTAACCGCATTCTTGAACCTGTAGCAGCACTCTTGAACCTGTAGCTGCACTCTTGAACCTGTAGCTGCACTCTTGAACCTGTAGCTGCACTCTTGAACCTGTAGCTGCACTCTTGAACCTGTAGCTGCACTCTTGAACCTGTAGCCGCATTCTTGAACCTGTAGCTGCACTCTTGAACCTGTAGCCGCATTCTTGAACCTGTAGTCGAGCTGTTAAAAATGGATGCCCTATGGAAGTCCCACTGGCCGAGGAAGATCCAGACGGGCCATCCGGCGTGTGGAGGTTTTAACCAAAAGGTGCCCAAGAGTTTGTAGTTATTGGTGTAAATCCCCCCCCCCCCCGTGTACTCTCGCTACTGGGGCATTGGACTTAAGGCCTATCACTGCGGGAGGTTTATAAATTCCGCTGCAGTAGCTTGCTGACACGATAGCAGCTACATAGTAAGGACTGACGACATGATAGCAGCCACATAGTAAGGACTGACGACATGATAGCAGCCACATAGTAAGGACTGACAACATGATAGCAGCCACATAGTAAGGACTGACAACATGATAGCAGCCACATAGTAAGGACTGACGACATGATAGCAGCCACATAGTAAGGACTGACAACATGATAGCAGCCACATAGTAAGGACTAACGGTTTAAGTTGTTGTTGTTATAGATTCAGCTACTCGGAACAGGTTCCAAGTAGCACGGGCTATGGTGAGCCCGTAACTTACCTGGCACAGGAGCGGGGCGGGTAGCCCGGGCTATGGTGAGCCCGTAACTTACCTGGCACAGGAGCGGGGCGGGTAGCCCGGGCTATGGTGAGCCCGTAACTTACCTGGCACAGGAGCGGGGCGGGTAGCCCGGGCTATGGTGAGCCCGAAGTGCGGTTTAAATGCGAGCACAGTCACTTATAGGCTACTGATGCCCGTGGCACCTCTTGGGTGGCTTACTATTCATCAATCAGTCAGCATACTGACTGGTCATTAAGTATATATTACTCCCAAATTTCATTTAGAGCTTTAATGATTCATCGGTGCATATCCCTGCACAACTCATCATCAGGCTGTGCTCGTCCAAGCTGTGTCCAACCCTCAACGACACATTCATCAATGTAAACGTACAGTGTAATCCAAAAAGTAATTTTCTCATAATATTATATATTATAATTCTGTGTAAAGCTGGACCTAGAAGAGGTTGGATGAGGAACTTTGGTTCTGTTGCGACCCCAACCTCGCCGTCATCTATTTGGACGTACTCTCCATTTAAAGTTGAACTCGTCTCAAATATAAATTAATATTATGTATGTCTTAGAATTTGATGCATAGCTAGGCCTAGGTTAGGTTAGGTTTGCAGGTTGGTAACTTGTATCTGTTGTACAACTCCAGATATGAGATACTTAACCCTGGAAACACAAACTAAAACTGTCTCTATTTTCCGCTTGTTACAACTTGTAATAAAGTTGTTACATCTTGGCTTAACGTGTTTTTGACGTATTAGAACGTTGTTACAACTTGCTATATTGGTTGTTATAACTGGTTAGGTGTTAAAACTTGTTCGAACGTCGTAATTTAGGTGTGTGTTTGGCGGGTTCCCCGTAGTTTCCGCTTCATCAACTACACCTGCCGTCTGAAGAGGATGTAGCGGGATTCCAACTCTCTTTGTCATTCCCGAAACCATTTAGCCAGGGTGCATCCGACCCTCTGGTCGTCGTGGCCCGTAAAACAACAACGACAACATTTAAAGTTGAACAATACGAATTGATGACGTCAGCGAAGCAATGTTCGTGACAAGTTTGAACGTCGGCAGTTGAGTCATGCGTAAAATGTGTAAAATGTTTTTTTTTTATTCCTGAACAGTGAGGTGTGAGGGGGGTGGCACTTGAACAATGTGTATGAGAAGGGGCCGCCTTGTGATGGGAATGCTCTCTTCTTGTAAAGTTCAAACGTGTGCCACTTGCACCTCTAACCGTACTCATAAAAATCTAACAACGACCAGTTTGTCCTCATAAATATTGTAGCCCGTCATCATAAACAAAGGTCGAATGTTCGTTAATTCAGCCTTCAAATTAATTGTTTATGTATGAAAAACGCTTTAAACTTGACTCACAAATGATGTTACTCGAAATTTTCGCTAACCGTGCTTCGCAATGTTCTTTGATCGACTCACATCTTTACAAATAATTCACCAATACGTACTGAGTATATCCCAACATGTCCTCATCAACAAAGACCAAATGCTCGTTAATCCAGCCGCCAAACCCCATGTTTATGATTGAAACACGGGTTTACACATGACTCACTACTGATAACTTATGAACACTTCCGGAACAAGTGCTTCGCTGACGTCTTTTGTTCGAACTACAACACTAAATGCTTAACCCACGTACTACAAAAACAAATAATTGCCAACAGAACCTAAACACCTAACAACATAACCAGTGCCTAAATATGTGCAATATGTTTATATATGATAATATTAATTCAACTTTTAGAAAAGTTCTGTTTTGAGTGAACAGAATGTTAAAATTGATGATTGCGCCCTTGGGGTCGACCGCTGGACAGAATGGACATGGTCTGAGGACGGGTTGCTGTAAATGCTTCACCCACGTAATTCAAATACAAATACTCATCAACAGAACCTAAACGCCTAACCTAACAAACGGGATGACGGCGTATGGGCCTCATTGGATTTTGGGCAAAAGAGGACGCTGAGTCACACCGGATTCAACGAACTTTGGAAAGACGACGTACGGCACACCGGATTCAACGAACTTTGGAAAGACGACGTACGGCACACCGGATTCAACGAACTTTGGAAAGACGACGTACGGCACACCGGATTCAACGAACTTTGGAAAGACGACGTACGGCACACCGGATTCAACGAACTTTAGAAAGACGACGTACGGCACACCGGATTCAACGAACTTTGGAAAGACGACGTACGGCACACCGGATTCAACGAACTTTGGAAAGACGACGTACGGCACACCGGATTCAACGAACTTTGGAAAGACGACGTACGGCACACCGGATTCAACGAACTTTGGAAAGACGACGTACGGCACACCGGATTCAACGAACTTTGGAAAGACGACGTACGGCACACCGGATTCAACGAACTTTGGAAAGACGACGTACGGCACACCGGATTCAACAAACTTTGGAAAGACGACGTACGGCACACCAGATTCAACGAACTTTGGAAAGACGACGTACGGCACACCGGATTCAACAAACTTTGGAAAGACGACGTACGGCACACCGGATTCAACGAACTTTTTAAGAAAGGGCCCATATGCTCTTAAAGGTTTCTTATGAGAAAAATAATTTCGGAGATCTTAGAAGTTTGTTATGAGTTCTTATGAGGAAAATATGTTCATAGAAGTTTGTTAAGAGATCTTATAGGAGAAATTCCATTTTTTTCAGAATTCTTACCGAGATTAAACAGATATTTTAGACCGTATACGTTTAAGTAGAAATTCTTACCTACAAACGAGTATGTCTATATAACTAAAACTGTAGCATTACCCAGCTACAACAGATGTCGTTAATTACCCAACCACCCCCTCCCTCCCCCTTCCCTCCCAACCTCCCGTGTCACCTGTTCCGACCTCACACCCCAAGTCTTATTTATACGCTTATTTATACACAACTTTATTTATACGCTTATTTATACACAAAACTTCAGTATATTTAATGGTAATATATAAATGAGAAAAACAACTATTTGTAGTGTACAAAACGTTAAAAATGATCTACCATCTCTTGGAGGGGAGGGAGGGAGAGAGAGAGGTACGTAGCTCTAACGAGCCCTGGCCTGAGGACGGGTTGTTCACCCACGTACTGTAAATGCAAATTATTACCAACAGAACCTAAATACCTAACCTAGACTTAACTATGCACGAAATCCTAATATATGCTAATATTAATACATATTTGAGAAAATTCCTATCTTGAATACACAGTGCGTTTAAATTAATAGGTTTTTGGGGGTCGGCCGCTAGGTGGAGGAGAATATTCTGTTGTTGTAAATACTCCCCCTACATGCACAACCTTTACTGGTGTGATTATGTAGTTGTGAAGGTTGTGGCTACAGGAAGACAAGAGGAGAGTGAAGACTTGTGGTCTTCATGGTAAGACCAGCTTCCCATGAAGACGAGTACCGCAAGGTCAGAGAACTCTTAGGGACAATACCATGAGAAATTGAACTCAGAAACGAGACAACACAAGGCGTGATGGACTTCATAACAAGCCAATGCAAAGAAGTCATTGAGAAATAATGACTAAGAAATACAGGAGGACAATGAACAAATCCACAAGGGCCGTGACGAGGATTCGAACCTGCGTCCAAGAACTCTGCCTTAATCGACTGAGCTACGACATGTCGTAGCTCAGTCGATTAAGACAGCGTCTGGGATGCTCTCGGACGCAGGTTCGAATCCTCGTCACGGCCCTTGTGGATTTGTTCATTTGATGCATCACGTTATTGTGATTTCTGTGTGTGTACAGGAGGACAATTTTCGAGGTAAAGAGCATTGAAGACACAGAGGGAGCACAACACAACCTAGATGAACCATGACGTATGCTTTACCCATGTCCGGGACAGGATGCCTGTGCTTAGGTTTACTGGGGTCTCCCTTAGCCAACTACTGAACTTTCCCCAAGCTGCTACCCACAACAACTGTCTAACCCCGCGTTAGACAAAATACTGCTGGGTAAACAGAAACATCAGGTGAAAATAAACGTGCCCAGTCGTCTCTGTCCACCTTTGGAATTAAACCAGGGATGGTCGGTTGTAAGCCGACGACGTGGACTGAGTGACAGAGGAACGCATATATAAAGAATTTGTAGAGAAGCAGTATGGGAACGACATGGCATCCAAGGCCAAGGATCAGCCTAAGCTCTATATCGCCATAGGAGGCAAATGATCAAATTGTCAGTCTTCACAAAAGAGATAAAGGCTACACAGAAAATGATAGTGAAGTGTGCGAAGATAAAAGCTTCCAAGAAGTTATCGTGTTGGAACCAGAACATCGTGAAGGTATGCGATCTATAATGGAACACACGCTACATTGAGCAAGACGGACCGAAACAGGAGTAACGCCAGCAGAAGTATGGAAGTTGGCAGAAGAACTGGATGGGATGAAGGCCATAACCCCCTCCCCCCCAAGAAAAGGTCTCAACATGGATTGTAAGCGAAGCAGCTGCATCATTGTGTGGATGCCTTGCTGTATTTTCAACTCCTCTAGATAGAGGGAACAACCAGAATGTTGTTGTTATAGATTCAGCCTCTCGCAACAAGTTCCAAGTAGCACGGGCTATGGTGAGCCCGTAACTTACCTGGCACAGGAGCGGGGCAAGTGTGTCAAACAACCAGAAACTTGGAGCGGCTGATATAAAAGGAAGGGTGGAAGACAGGAGGTCGGGTGGAATTAAGTACCGCTCCTGTGCCAGGTAAGTCCACTATGGGCTCACCATAGCCCGTGCTACTTGCCCCGCTCCTGTGCCAGGTAAGTTACGGGCTCACCATAGCCCGTGCTTCTTGCCCCGCTCCTGTGCCAGGTAAGTTACGGGCTCACCATAGCCCGTGCTACTTGCCTCGCTCCTGTGCCTTGGTCTTGTAATCAACGCTGCTAAAACTAAGGTATGTAACAGACAAATTGGTAATCACAAAAGTGAACCACGGAAACGTAAGATAGGTAACGTACCAACAGACTATGTCTCTTCTTTCAAATACCTTGGTGTCTCTGTCCCTTGTACCTTAACTGCAGTCAATAAGTTACATCAACAATGTAGAGACAGACTCAAGGCTCTCAGAACTGTAGTGGGCTACAGCCCTAAATACGGTGTTAATATTAGAATAGCAAAAATAATATACTTAGCATATATACCGTCTCTGATAGACTATCATACATCAGCTTTATTTCTGCAAAATGGCAAAGGTATTGATAGACTGGAAAAAATGCACAATGAAGCACTCAGAATTATACTTGGCTGTCCTATAACTACCAAAGTTCTCAATATGCGGAAAAAAATTAAATATACGCCAAGGGTGCCTGACAGCTGGAAGGACAGCGCTTCGGATTCGTAGTCCTGAGGTTCCGGGTTCGATCCCCGGTGGAGGCGGAGACAAATAGGCAAAATGTTTCTTTCACCCTGATGCCCCTGTTACCTAGCAGTAACTAGGTACCTGGGAGTTAGACAGCTGCTACGGGCTGCTTCCTGGGGGTGGAGGCCTGGTTGAGGACCGGGCCACGGGGACACTAAGCTCCGAAGTCATCTCAAGATAACCTACCTAGCATTCAAGATAGAATATTTAAAATTAATCTTATGATGAGACTAAAGCTGCTGCGTGATAACAAAAACAACATTGTGCCAGTTGAACTGTTAGAACACATACGTAATAGAACCAGCGAGTCTAAATGGATTCAAAGAACAGCCACTCATTAAAATGATGGGACTGCACGATGTATATACAGATGAAAGAGTACAGCACTTCCTTCCACCCTGGCAGATAGTACCTTTTGACCTCCTGACCCCTGCATACCCCACCAAGAAACTAATCACAAACAACCCTCATGCTCAGCTTGCTGCTAAATTAAGCACCATAGAACACATTCACAATATACAAGCTGAAAACACCATCACACACACCATATACACTGCCTGATCAGTCAATACAGCTACAGGGAGGGCAGGAAGTGCTGTTATTGCTCATCAGCCCGATGGCAGCACAATTCAAAGGAATATCCGAATTAGTAACTGGGCGTCCACAATACAAGCCGAGTTGGTAGCGATACTGGTAGCACTCGAAATTATTGAAAACACTGAAGTAGACAGCTTAATTATTTCCGACTCCCTTTCCTCACTACGAGCAATAAACAGTTTGTAATCAAGTAATAACGTGCTTGTCTCGGAAGCCAGACATAGATATATATATTCGGTTGCCCGAAACGCTGTACGTACTAGTGGCTTTAGGTATTGTATGTACTAGCTCTATTTATAAATCCAACACTGTGTTTATAACTAATCCTCTATGTACTTTTACCTGAATAAACATTTGATTTGATTTGATTTAATTTAATTTATAAGCATACTTAACAAAGGGGTAAATATAAAAATGTTGTGGATTCCTTCTTACATTAATCTGCAGTTGATAAAAGTTGACGCGCCTGCTTAGGTTGCAGTAAATAAAGATAGTATTGAACTGAATCTTGAGTTATCAAATAGGTCCATTAAAAGTGTCATTAGACGAGTCCTAAATGAATATGAAGGAAGTAGAACAGTGCAAACTGGAACTAGTAGGTCCATTGTTCATCACAATGAAATGTGTGAAATAAAACATGTGTATGGGGGAAGTAACAAAGTCAGTAGACTAACAGATGTTGTCACAGCTCGTATAAGACTTGGCTACAAGTATCTCTGGCAGTTCGGCTTGTATAGGGACCTAGATGAAGTAAAGTGTAAAGTGTGTGGACAAAGACAGGGACACACACTTGAACATTATATCTTGGATTGTAGTAAAATTGAGCCATTTAGAGATGACTAAACTCACGTTGTATGATATGGCAACCTATCTTATTACTAAGGATAAAATACTTGAAATCCTTGCGCTGTATTCACATTTCGCTTCCAGTAGATAAACGACATATGAGATTAAGAAACAAGTAGTGTATTGTGAAGACTAATAATAAACAGCAGCTCTCCTATGACTGTAATATCTCCATTGGTCAAACAATTATGTATTAGCGATAAGACCTACCATTAATGTATAATGATTTATTGTAAATATATAGCTCTTGAAATAGAACATTCTATGTTACTAGCTGACATTGTAATTATAAGGGGTGAAAGATAGATGAAATTATTTATGTAATAATCTCTGCTGAGGTCTGATAAAGGCCTTTTATGCCCTCTGTAATGCTTTTTGCGCTACCGCTCACAGGATGAGTATGGGGTGCACAATAAACTAGCCCCCGGCGGAAACAATGAAACATCAAATCATTCCCGCTGGACTGGGGCTGGGGCACACAGCCCTCACACCCTCCCACTTGCTACAAAACGCGCCATTTCTCATGTCTAGCTTGAGACACTCCGCTAAAGGCACAACCTCTCCAGCTATCAACAGCACACCCAAGCCACAACAGAACGCGCCATGCACAACGAAGGTCTCCAAAAAAGTCAGAAACAATAACCTAAAATGAAAACGGATTATCAAATAACTTCTAGAAACTAAACATTACATCAACTATGTAAACCTAACCAAGTACCACCGAATGACTGGCCTTGCCATAGGGCTCTGGGGCCGCCT